TACATCCTAGGGATGCTGTTGGATGGACAAAGCAGAGAGGGTGGCTGCCCTGCTCCCTCTCCTGCGGGTACCACAAGACAAACCAGCCTACTGCAGGAGGGGAAAGGAATGGATTCTGCTGTATGGGGTCCAAATAGCTGAAGTATTTTGTCCAAAAACCCTTAGTTGCTGCACAAGCAATTATGTGAAAGAGCTTACAGGTTGATTTCTTTTCCAACTGCTTTTAGTGGATGGCAATTGGCATGCAAATAAAAACAAGGGTAGAACTTATGCTAGCTGAAACATTATGAACAAGTTATATTATTAAGAGTAAAGTTTGAACTCCATTAGCTCATTAAATTAAATTACAGTGTTTGCTTTTCTTTAATGCAGTGTCAGAAGTGGTTCTGAATTTCTGGGAGAGTTATTTTTGATTGCTGTATGTGCTGTTTGGAGACTGGGTACTGTAGGTGTGTATGCAATTTTACAGCTATGCCAACACTTTATAATATAATTTTACATGCAAATTACAGCTATGTAGTGTAACAAGCTATTCTTTTTTTTCTTTTTACAACATCTCCAGCCATGCACCCAATGCACACAGAGTGATTTTTTGGCTTACCAGGCTCCAACCCATCAGACCACCAAAGAGCGGAGAACTGAGCGCAGTGCAAGCAATGGCAGCATTCGGGCTCGCCTGTCAAACCAGAAGGGGAATTGTGCAGCCTCTCAAATACCAAACTTTGGGGCTGATTCATTCAGTGGGTCTGTGACCTGACAAGGCAGTATGATTAATTGCACACATATTCCCTCAGAGGTTTTCCTGCTCACGCTTTCTGCAGCAAAGATTGTTAGCTTGACAGATCAGCATAGCAGCCTCTTAAGATGCCAGAAAGGGAAGCGGTTGGTTTCTGATTGAAAGTTAATGGAGCAACAGCAGCTGTTCCACACTGAGGGGAAAAAAACCCCAAACCAAACAGGCTTTGATTCTCAGAGAAAACCACACATGGGAATAAGCTGATTTTTCGATAACTCTGGCTGTGGGATTCTGTCAGGGATTGAAAGGCTGTATTTGCATGATATAATAGGTGTCATAATTAGAAATTCAGCTGTGCTTTCTCTCATCTGATTATTGAAATATAAGCCATGGCATGAGTGTTTTTCTTTTCTGATTAAATGCTGGTTTAGGTGTCTCTTGTTCCATGCATTTGTTCTTCATACTTTGGCCATTTAAGCTAAAGTGTGCAGAACCCTGATTTGGCAGGCAGCTCCTGTATTTGCAGTGCTGAGCAAAGATGCTTGCACAGCACCTCCCTTTGCTCACAGGCAATCCACACTGTCCCTGTGTCAGAACTGCCCCACCGCCAATTTTAAATAGTTTTCATTTTTCAAGTAAGCCTTAGCAAATTGCATTAGACACTTCCTCAAGAATACTGAAGCCCTACCACTTTATCTGTTAAAAGGTTTTAAACATTGAGTAGTGTTTCCCCTTCCACATTTCCCAGCTGGACTCTGACAGGATAACGCAGGCTTGATGGATGCTTTCATGTTGCGTGTGAGATGAGCAGGGCTGTGTGGCAGCCCTCTGCAGACATAGCTGCTCCTGTGGGCACCACACCACAGCCTGCCTCAGCGAGGAGGCTCCCAAGAAGCAAACTGCACCAGGGAAACCCCAGATGGCAGCACCAGGGCTGGGCTGGGCGCAGCAGGCTGTGCCATGCAGCAATGCATGGAGAGCTCTGCTCTCTCGCGCCTCGCAGATGCCTTTGCTCTGTTCCAGGACAAATCCCTCAAAACACACTTGGAAGTGTAAGTCTGGAAACTGAGACCTGTGCTACCTCCCCACTGCTCTTCCCAACCTGCCTCCTGCAGCACCTGCTGAAGAGCTGAGTTGAAAACTGTCCTTCAAACCCAGCAGTCTGTGCTGGACCCCTGTCAAAGGGCTACGTTTACAGCAGAGATTATGGGCAAAGATCTTCTAAAATGCCCCTGGATTCTCCCATGACATCCCTCAACTGCTCTGAGTCTGAATTAAGTTGTTCATTCAACAGCTATATTTTCTAACTTTGTGAAATCCTGTCTGTTACTGACACAGAAACACATAAGCAGGAAAAAGGCAACAAAAAGTGCTTCTATTACTACAACTTTTAAAATGAGGGTAAGAAACTAACAGAGATACTGTGTAAACAAATTGATTTAATTGCACTACATGAAAGAGAAGGCAGGTCTTACTGAAGTAGAGCAGTAGACAGCATGCCAGAACAAAATTCCTCAAAGCAATGGCATATAAATATTGAATAAAATGCAAAAGCCAACTCTGCAGATGGCTTTGGGAAAAGCAGCCGCTCTGGCTGCAAGCATGTTTCAGAGAATACACCACAAAACCTGGAAACCTGCAAAGCCAAGGAAGAAATCAGTGCATAATCTGCTAGAGGGAAATCCTCAGCTTCCACAATCAAGTACAGGGATTACAAGGACATTTCTAAATCAGTGAGGGATGGGATGAGACAGAAGACTGAATGTTAGGATTTTGAGTTTTCCCCTTAGCAGCCCATACTGCCATGCCAGGCACATACCTGCTGCTGGTCTTTGGATACCAACTTTGATATTTAACTAGGGGTATTAATCTCTCAGCAAAACAATTTAATATCATCTCTGTAGCCATTACTTTCTTCCAGAGGCCTTTGCAAAAGGCATTTCCAACAGATTTAAATATATGATTGCCAATCAAGTGAGCTACATCCGCTCAATTTTCTTCCTTCCTTTTGCTCAGAGAACCAGCTGTAGGATTCACTCACAAAAGCTTCTGGAGCAAAGAAAGAGAGGATTTTGTTAATCTGGATTTGTGAGCCCCAAGCTACTGGTTTAAAATTTCATGATGAATCTGTGTCACCGTGCATTTCCTTCTCCCTTGGGAAAACAAAGGACGAATGTATGTAGAAAATCAGGCTTATTCCTCTTAACTGCAAGAAGCAACCAAAGAGAAATAAATGAAGAGAATTTGGCATTGCCTTACTTAGATAACCAAACCACCCCACGTGCAGCTTTATGTGATTTGCAGAGTGGGAGCAAATAATATATATATTAAAAAATAGCAACCAAACCCCCAAATCAGACACACAATGCAGTGTTTCTCTGGGTTGCTGAGGCAAGAGAACCACAGTGGGTGCAACAAGGCCACAGGAGTGAGACACGAGTGAAACAAAACGCAGTCTCCTTTGCAGGACAGCCCTTTCAGAAGTTTGCAGCCTTTCCCCTGAGAGCTGAGAGCTCACAACCTCTCTGCACCCAGTATATCCAGCACTGCTCCAGGAGTGAGACACGAGTGAAACAAAACGCAGTCTCCTTTGCAGGACAGCCCTTTCAGAAGTTTGCAGCCTTTCCCCTGAGAGCTGAGAGCTCACAACCTCTGCACACAGTATATCCAGCAATACTTTTTTCAGTAGGCTGAGACAGAAGGTACCAGAGTGAGCTGGACAGCAGACAGCACTGCTCTTTTCAGTAGGCTGAGACAGAAGGTACCAGAGTGAGTTGTCAGCAGGCACCTTCAAAATGGTGATGTTTAACACAAAGAATTGGAAATTTTTCTTACAAGAGGTATTTTTCATCTACAGGTCTGGAGGTGCTTGAACAGATGCAGCCAATGCCAACTGGATCTTTCACACAGAGTAATGTGCCAAGGAGCACCAAGTTCCTACCCCAACAAACATATCTCCTTAACTTGCTTTGAGGGAACAGCTATCCCAGTGTGGACTGGCACCAGAGGACACTCCAAAAGTGACACAGCAAGTAAGAAGGGAAGCAGTGGATGACCTCCAGTCTCTCTGCTGCCCTTGCCATGCATCACCCTTGTCACTGGGCACCACAGTGTGTACAGGAGGTCTTATGGAAATCAATTCTAAAACACACAATACAATTAATCTGAAAAGGATACTGGGCAATACAAGCAGGTTTGTCATCATGCCTTGTGCCAACTAAGCTTTCAGACTTTCAAATCTAGAACTTTTCTCATCCTCAGGAAATATTTCTGCTATGTGTTAAAATCACAACGACCCCCAAGGTATTTACACATAATACTAAGAATATCAGAGATTAGTATAATGCACAGTATGTTTAGAATTGCAGAATAGTTAATGTAGATTAAAGTGCTCTGCCAGTAATCACTCACTTTCCTGGCCTAGCCACATGGCTTTTCCATTTTGCTGCACCCCAGCACTGCCAAGCTGCACAGCTGGTCCCGGGGGGGCAGTGACAAGTGCCATGAAACTGCTCTGGCCCCAGCCCCTGACTACAGCAGGCTAAAATGTGCTCTGGGAGACTGCCAGAAATATGGAACTCTCTGTGCTGAGCACGTGGACCAGAGCTGGTTCTCCCATCACACACAGAAGGGGCTGGAGCAAGCAGAGAAGCAGACCCAGCAAGATTGCAGGGCCACACTGCCCCGTGTTTGCTGGAGCATCCCCTCGGAGGCAGCCTTCATGGAGCTGGTGTCCTGGGACAGCAGCTCAGCAGCGATCACCCACAGCCCTGCAAGGAGCTGACGTCCCTCTCTGGTGCTGTGAGCCACACCAGTGACACACAGGCTCTCCTCAGCAGCACCCAGGCACTCCACTGTTTGGGCAAGATGCAGTAAATCATACTCCTGTAAAATCCCTGCCCCTTACAGCCTGGAGTATTTGTGAAGAGGGTATCTGAGTGGGGACAAGAAAAACTGTAGGGACTGAATACCACTGAGGCAATAAAGTTAGATCCAGTATTTAATCATATTTTCCAATAACTATTTCATTTTTTTAGAAGTATTTCTGAGAGATTTCTACATTTCATCACAGTGAATGGGTGACAATAAAAGATTTTGTCTAGACAGAAGGTAAAGTTTGAACTTCAAAATTAAGTTCTACAGAGTGGGGGAAAAAACTAACCAGCACAATGTTCTGTTTGCCTTAAAGCTTAAAAAAAAAGGGAAAAAAAAAGAAAAAAAAGAAAACCTTGAAAACCTCTCCAAAAGATAAAACCCCCAAAACAATACCATTTTATTCTTTTGGAAATATATTCTATCTAAAGTAAATATTTTAAATATTTAATATTAAACATTAGCAAAGATCACTTTGTGGAGATGAAAGCGACATCATCAGGGAGTTTCATAAACTGTCTCAGTTTCTGGGTAGCTGCTTTTCAGCACTAACAGCACACAGCATAGTTGGTGCAGTGTAAATTTTCTCCTTTTTTTTGGTAAAATATACTTATTTAGTGCCATAGCAGAAGAAGCAATTAGCAGGCATTTCATGGGGCAATCTCCCAAGAACAGTCCTGAGACAAGAGCTACTCCACCACAGATCAGAGCCTGGAAGGAGCTGCAGCTGGGTGCCCCGCAGACCTGCAGGTGTGTCCAGCTGCCCCACCTGAGACCTTCTTGCAGGTTTTGCTTTTCCACAAGCAGCCTTGCCGCTCACAAATGCTTCTTCTTTTTTATTGCCTCTGCCCTGATAGCCAAGCTCTTGGCACAGATGGTCAGGACCACGATGAGGACTCCGACCAGGAACGTCACCACGGGCCAGAGGAAGCAGTGCAAGAGAACAGTCTCGTCGTGGGTGCGCTTCAGCATCACGTCATCCGGCCTGTGCAAGGGGGAGCAGAAGATGGAGAAAATATAAATCAACACAACACCGTCAATTCGTAAGTAGGAGTCTTCTAACATGGTAAGAGTAAAGGCGATTTATTTGTCAAAGTGTTAGAAAATGATTAAGTGGACTATTTAATTCACTGCTTGCATTTGCCTTTTTATCACCAGTACTCACGGCAGACTGTGGGAGCTTTCCACTTGCAGTGTTTACAGGCTAACAAGTTCACTTGGATTTAAAAAGAAAAAAAAAGAAAATGTTGGTGCTCTAGATCTTCCTCTGAATATGGTCATCACAAACAGCCATGAAAGGTACAGTATCACACTGACTGTGGATTGCAAAACCACTCTGGCAAAAGCATAACACCAGGCAGCATTTATACATATCTACCTCAAATGTTATCAGGCCCTGTGAAATGGATCTAAACAGTAATTAAAGCTTCGCTTTTAGCTTTGAGAACTGATGTGTCCATGGGGCTACCTGGAGGCTCCTGATGAAGCAAACCCTGGCTGTGGTTGGGTCTGGGTAGGGAGCTGGTCCCTGTCCTCAGCACTGGACTGCTGGTGGCCCAGGTTAGCCCAGCTGCACTGGCAGGCAGCAGCCTGCAAGAAATCTATCCCCACGAGGACTGCAGCCTGCCCCAGGGTGGCCAAGGCTCCCAGGTCAGCTCCTTCCCAGCACTGGCTGTTCCAGCAACAGGCTGTGATTTGGGGCTGCAGACAGCAGTGCCTCAGCAGTGCCTAAGCAGGCTCCTACAGGGACAATTTGGTGAGACTCCCACCAAGGCCTGAACGTCCTTGCCTCCACCAGCAGCATCTAATGCACAGTCATGGTGGGGCTGTGACAGGTTTGTCACTTCCAAAGGGAAACGGAGGGAGGAGGAGAATTGCAGTGGAAGCATCTTGAGACATTTGGAAATTTAGCTGTGCCACATGTCTGAAAGATCTGCTGTCTATCTGCCTCTTCCAAGTCTGGGAGGTTGTTGGCAAAATGTGATGGCAGATTTTCCTCAGCTCTGGCTCTTTCTGCTCTCCCTTGCAGTTTAATAGTTATTAAATCAGTCTCGTGGTATTTGCACTTTGCTCTTGCTTTCCCATCTACAGCCAGAGACACGCAGTCTGCTGGAAAACTATCTGCAAAGGAGAGAAAGAGAACTTTCTCCAGCTAGAAAAATATCTAAAGTCTTCACTGATGCTGGTCCTCACTCACCTTGAACACTCCCATCACATGTTGCTTCACCAATGCCACCTGACACTTCTTGGAGCAGCAAACCTCACAGCCTAAAGTCCTGGCAAACCAGGCTCATCCAGCAATGTCCCAGGAATCAAGGTCTCCTAACATGCTGGCACTTAGGAGCAGATACCTCTTCAATGTCTGTGCTGTCTCTCCCACGACAGTTTTGTCTTGATCAGAAAGGAGCCCCCAGAAAAAATTCTCTGTTGAGGAAAGAAGGAATTCCTTTTCCTTCACTGAGAAATTGAATGGAGATGCTTGCAAGTCTGCAGAGCTTTATCCATCCTTAAGGAGCTACTGGAGCCAGACTGCCAACCTACACCTGATGCCAGATTTAATTACACCTGCATTTGCATTTCGGGGTCTCTCACCCAAAATTGCTGTGTGGAGAATCCTCTGCACTGTGCCAGCCTGAAAGTCCCCAAGGCCAGCACCATATGTCTCTCTTTGTTTCTGTAGTAAGGAGCAGAATAAAACTCTGATTGTAAGCAGCTCAGCTATATAAAATTTGAAATTCAGCAGCATAAAAAGATATCAAAAGAATCCCATGTGTATTCAGTAGTGGAATGCATTAGTTCTGTGCAACCAAAATCCTCCAGCTATATAAGCAGGCACAGGTGGAGATTACAAATTGAACAAAGCAGTATTAACTTCATGGGTGCAAACTCACCAACCTGTGCACCTGAACAGAGAAATCCTCTCACAAGAGGCATAAGCCTGCTCCCCCACTGTTACTGTATCATCACCAGTGAACAACAGAGTGATAATTGGCAAGGAAGCCATAAGTAGGCAACACTCAAACTTCACAGCTCTGGACTTATTAGTGACATTGAATTTTAAGGGTTTTTTTAGAGGAAATGTTAGTTCAAAAATAAAGGACAAGCAAAAACGTAGAAAATTGGGTTCAACTAAAGGAAAGAAAGTGATTGGGGAAAGTAAGATATCCTTTAGACTGAATCTTAAATGTTTTGAAAAACGCAGGTACCAAAGGTAACAGTGATGTATGTCAAACACTCATGATAGGTGTGATTATGGCATAGTAATTTGAAAGAATTTCCCTTTTAGAAAAGGGTCAAAGACAAAGCCTTTAAGTAAGTTTTGAGCTGAGGTTTGGGTATAGATGGGTATTATGGCTACTTTTAAGTACAGCAAGAGTCCCTGCACATTGGAGTGGCCTCACCTTGATTCTTGTGTGCAGTTTTGGGTGCCACAATATAAGAAAGATGTTCAGCTGTTGGAGAGCACCCAAAGGAGGGACATGAGGATGGTGAGGGACCTTGAGGGGAAGCTGTATGAGGAGTGGCTGGGGTCACTTTGTTCAGTGTGGAGAAGAGAAGATTGAGTGGAGACCTCATTGCAGTTCCTTCCTCACAAGGGGAAGAGCAGGGGCAGACACTGATCTCTTCTCTGTGGTGCCCAGTGACAGAACCCAAGGGAATGGCATGAAGCTTTGCCAGGGGAGGCTCAGGTTGGCTATTAGAAAAGTGTTCTTCACCCAGAGGGTGGCTGGGCACTGGGGCGGGCTCTGCAGGGCAGTGGAACAGCACCAAACCTGCCTGAGCTCAAGAAGCCTTTGGACAATGCTGTCAGGCACACGGAGTGACTCTCGGGAATGGTGCTGTGCAGGGTCATTGGCTGGATTCCACGATCCTTGGGAGTGCCTTCCAATTCAGAGTATTCTGTGGTTCTGTGGCACTTGGAACACAGCAATGTAACTGCTTTGGGTTTGCTTGGCAAAGGTAGCAGTTTTGACTTTTCATGCTACTTTTTTAAAGGTGACCTGCCTGCTCCCACAGTCTGAAGGCTCGTTGTTTTACTTGGAAACAGAAAAGGAAAGGTGCTCTGTCTCCAGGGGAAGACTTCTCATGGTAAAGACCTGTCTTGGCTGGAAAGCCTAAGAGCATCACTCCCCTGGTGCTGAGGCAGTGATGTTGAACCCAAAGGAGGTACATCATGCCTAGAAACATGTTTCTTTTCCCTATGAAAATCAGCTGATATAATTAAATTTGTTGCCTTGCTCCTGTAAGAACAGTATTTTCAATAAACCCATCTTTGGTCTGTGGCTTTATATATAAATATATATATATAACACATCAGTTGAAAGATGTTCGCAGAGTGGTTGTGCATATTCACCCTGAGCTTGATTACTGGCAGTCTCTTCTTTCCAGCAATGCTGCCATTCAGGTTTCCAGTAAATGTAAAGCCTCTTGAGGGGATGCACCCAAAACCCTAACAGCAGTTATCTGTGCACAAAAAACCAGCAGAGGCAAGAAAGAGACCTAGTGGGACAAAAGGGTGCAGCGATTGCAAGCCATGCTCAGGCATTCAGAGCTGGTTCTTGCTGTGAACATGATGGCCACTGTGCAGCACCACCACTGCCCAGCAGCAGCCCCAGGGTGAAACAACAAACAAACTGAAAAAAAAACCCCAAACCTGAAGAAGCCTTTTCCTTAACCCTGAAAACACTGCTTTCTCTTTCACTGAACAGACAAGGAGGAAGGAATTTTGTTTTCATTGCTAAAAGGTGAGACCAGGACTTATTTTTAGCAGGACTTTCAGCTCAAGGCTAGACCCTTGTGGAGCTTTGAGCAGGGCTAAGTGGATTAGTTGCATTACACAACACATCCCTGTTAGGTTCTGCCAGGTAGTTCAGACACCAGATAAAACAGGCCTCCACCAGAGCCTTCAGAGCAATTACTGAACATCATGGGGAGAATTGCAGTACAGGGATTACCAAAATGTCATGTAGGACCAAAAGGTTACAGGCACATAAACATTTCAGTCATCACTTATGAACCAAACTGTGAACCTAATGTTGCACAACAAGAGCTGACAGAAGTGGAGGCGCAGGAAGGGAAGCCTTACAAATGTTTTTGTATTCAAACAATCTGGATTTAAAGACGTTTGCAATACACTGATTGTTTTTCCCACAGATATTCACATCCCTTCGCTCTGACAAGCAGTCACTTTTCCCTTACTGTTGCAAGATGCAGAGATCCCCAGCTGGATGGCTGCTTGCAGAGGCAGCACAGTGTCCTACTGACAGTCAAGTCCTTTCCCCCTCGGGCCCAAGTGCTGCTCCCCAGGTGGAGGGAATTAATTTAGAAAACTGTGAAGTAACAGAGCAAACCAAGATTTATGTTCCAACATTTTATGGATGAGCAGCCTTACTACCTGAGCACCCTTGGCTAACACACATAATCATTCTGAGATAAGTGGGAACCCTGCGGGGCACCCCAACAACATACAGGTTGTCACTAATCACTTGACAGGGTTTGCTCTTCAAATCTCTGATGAATTTGTGGACAGCATCCTGCAGCAAACACAGAAGAGGTTAAAGCATGGCTGGCTCATCTGCTGTGCCACAGCAAAGAATACACCGAGTGTTCTTGTGTATGGCACAAACCCAGAGTTAGCAAGCAATAATGCCATATAAATCAGCCACTAATAAGAAATGACACAGGTTGCTCTGCATGGCATGACATGGCATGAGAGAGTGAGGTCTCAGCTCATGGCAATCTTAGTTTCTCTCTTTTTTGTTTTTGTCATGGATGTCAGTGACACCTGGAACATGAAGAAATAAAGTGACAGGATCTTCCCCATCCTGCCTGTTCCTGCATGCAGCTGTGGCCCTTGTTTGCATGAGGTCACAACTGCAGAGCCCTGGGACACCGGGTGTGAGATCCAGAACGCCAAAGCCCTAGAGCTCAGTGCCCTCTCAAACCTTTGGCAACAGCCTGAGAACTTCACCTGAATTTGTCCTTTGCTTTAGCGTCTGAAACACTGAAGGTTGGTTTCTGCTGTGCTGGGCTTCCTTCAGGCTGGGGTATCATCATGCCAACAGACAGGCACCTTCACCAGAGATCCTGAAAAGCAACTTGCCCATGCAGCTGGAACCCTTGTCCCAAAGCTTGTCAGAGAAGAGTGGAACACTAAAGTTAAGTGCCTACAGTGGCAAAGCAAAAACTCACTCTTCAGTAAAGCACTGAGCTCCGGGATAAGCTGTACTTTGGTTCCCTAAGACAAATGTCAGGCAGCTAATTTTGCTGGGCAGTTTGCTTTACAGTAACTAAGAATGGTTGAAATTGCCAAGTCTGCTTCTCATCCCTTTTGCTTAACTTTGAACTGTAAGGATGGCGCCCCTTTTTTTTATTTTTTCAAAGTAACATGTTGAACCCACCAAACTGAAAGGGAGAAGTTACCCAACAGTACACCCTGCATGCAGCAACAGTTCTGACAATGAAAATTGAGTAAACTCGATGAAGAGGAGAAGATGTTCATTCATTGCCTGAATATTTACCTAGACTTTTATTCTGCTGTTTCAAAGGAGTATTAATATTACAAATATTACATTTTCTAAGGAACTATTTACTGTACGTTTTATACAGACTGAGAACAGTTAGCTTATCCACACAGTGAAAAAAATACTGTCAGAAAACATGCACACTTCTATTTTGAAGGGAACAGATTTCTCCCTCAGTTTGATTTCTTTTCACTGCTTTGCAGGCTGCTTAGTCATCATTGCTCTAAAAGTATACCCAAGCAAGCACATTCCCAGTCAGCAGAACTTATCCCCCAAAGCTCATTGCTATCTCCAGAAGAAAATAGATGGCGTACACATTTCGGCTTAGACTGTCTTCTAGTACCTCTGGCAGGGAGCCTCTCTTATCCTGTGTATGAATTGTTGCATGATCAGCAAAAGCCAGTGTTTCAAGGCAGCCATTGTGCTGGCAAGAACTTTTAGCAGTATGGGATTCAGCATCTTTAGGGGAAAAAACCCTTCCTGAGTGCTGCACAATTTTTCAGTGCCAGCTTACATAAATGTCAGATGCTAGGCAGCATGCAGCCTTTGCAGAAAAGCTTTGTCTTTGCTTCACCAAAAGGTAATGTGAGAATCAGCTCCCATAGCTCTGGACACCTACCACCCTAAATTCCTTTACAGGAGAGAAATAAATATCTCTGGGCAGCTGACCTGTATCAGGCATTTACTTTGGGGTGAGATAAAAGGCTTCTGTTTCTCTCCACTGCCAAAAAAGTCACACAGTTACCTTTTGCATCATCCTTTCCACACCAGTTTAGCTGCACCCTAGCCATGGCTTCTCCTGCAGACAATCCCATGTTTCTGACTCTCCTGCTCACTTGGGCAGTGGGTCTGCAAGTCCCAGTTCTCAGGAGTACAAGGAACAGACAACACCTGCCTGCCCAGAAAAACCAGAATCGTAACTTGGCCTCTGGTTACCAGATCCAAGCTTTGGCTCCCTGTGGACCAGAGGACTCCCAAGAAGGTCCCTGATGGATCTGATGCCATCATTCAGAGTGCCCTAAGTGTTAACCTCTGCATGCTGTAAGCAATGTTTCTTCCCCTCTAAAAGAAAAAGTTCTGCTACAAAATGTTGGTGGTGTCCCTCTGCAAAGAGTTAGCCAGGGACAACAAACATCCTGGGCAGCAATGCTGGCTGGGTCTACAGTCTCTTCAGGGAGACAACTATTACAGCCAGCTTAGGACAACCCTGAAATCCCCAAGGCACTCAGCAGGACACTCACAGAGAGTCAGGCATTTCTCCACCTGCCATCCATTTTCCTCCTGATTGTCTTTCTGACTTAAACATCTGGTGCCAGCACTCCCACACTGAGCCCTGAATTGTGCCTGCAAGTCATGAGCTAGTCCCTCATCTATTTAACTTTCAAGTGTTTGTGGGACAGGACTAACCTCCTCCTGCAGCCACGCTACCTTTTATTTCCTGGCATATCACCATCAGAAAGAGAGAGGAAAAGGACTCCCTCCCTTTCTGTTTACTGAAGGAAGGAAACCACACATCACTCTTACACACATGGAAGTCACATCAACACTGGCAGTAAAAGTAAGAACTGAAAGAGAAGGGGAGATGCTTTCGGTTACAGCTTTCTACTCTGCAAGCATGTATGAAAGCTGGCAGTTCTGTTGCTGTTTATTACACATATCTGATCCATTCATTCTCTATGAACACAACAGCTGAGTTAGTTTGTCATATTTACTGATCTCCCCTTTTCTTCCATGAACACAGTAGGGTTTCTTTCCTGTGGAGGAAAGGAATGTTAATATCCACACCAAAAATCTGCCATCGGAGTGTTAAAAGCCAAGATACGTTTTGCTATAAAAATTGCATGTTTTAAGGAAAACTTTTCTCACAGTTTTATATTTTTACTTCAAGTGGTAAAAATACTCCTTTCCTTTCCGTATAGCTTTTCATCAGTAGAGCTGTCTTGCAGAGCTCTGCACTGAGCTCTGTGTGATAAACCACATTGCCCTGGAGGGGGTCTCTGTGTGTATGCACATATGCATGCACTTATGTGTATTTTCAAACAGAACCAATGGACAGCTGTTAAGCAGATGCATAAGCACTCCCGCCTAGCCAAATGGAGATTACTCACCTCAAGTGCTGGTTAAAATAGCACGTAAATGGTTGAGAACCCACTTTCTCTTTCCAGTATTTCTGCTTGTACGTGACGTTCTCAGAGTTCTCCTGATCGTCTCTGGCGCAGGGAGGGATGTATGAGCACTGCCAAGACACATTGCAAAACAGAGTTACTGCTGTGCTCAAGAACGCAGGGCATCACTTCTCTGTTTTTCCCTCATGATACCAGCATGACTGAAATGGATTGAGAATAATTAAAAAAGCTCCAAAGAAACAGAAAATATTAGCTGAACTTCACTGCAATTGCTAATTATTTTGTGTGGGTACTGGAAAAGAATATTGTAGCATTCAGAAAGAAAATAAAGGCTTTGCCATGTTTGTTCCACTCTTAAACCAAACCACTTCGTAACATCTTGGGGTTTGGCCTGATGAATGTGAAAATGATAATTTCATTTTGAGGTGTTCCTAGCCAGCTGCATGGATTGGGTTTTAATAACTTTCTATTTTCAGTGAGGCATGTAATCACAAGTTTAGTTAAGTATCATGCTAATAAATAACCCAAAGAGTCCAGCAAGCTTTCCCAGCTGATGGGATATCTGGCTAATATCCACTGATAAAAGAAGATATTCTTCCACTGTTACAACACATGGAAACAAGAAAAAAGGTTCACAGCTCTGCTTCAGCAAAAAGATTCAGCATCTGCTTGTGCTGTGCAGAAATCAAGGCGAGCTGAGCATCCAGCTGAGCTACCTGCAGATCTCACCTTCAGACTTCTGCTTCAAAGCCCAGAGATCAAGGGACACCCCTCCCCTAGCCTGGTGCCCTTGGGACTGGGCTTTCAGAGGCTCCCAGTTGGGTCTCACACACACACCCCCCTTGTTTCCAAGTCTTTGACACACCACCTTTCGGTCCCAGCCACAGGCAGTTAAAGAGAAAACAAGCAGTGCACTGAATCAAGTGTCAGCACTATCAGAGGTCAGTGTCCAAGCACAATCCCTCTCATTTTTAGCAGGCATCCACACAGGAGATCATGACAGGAGCTGTTGAACCACACAGAGTAACACAGCTTAGCTGATGCTCCCATAGCACAGAGGTTTTCCACCCTGCAGGACGTACGGATGCCAAGTGAACTGAACACACTGAATTGTAATTCCTTTAAAATTGGGAGCTGCAAACAGAAAAAATGTGACTGGGAAGGTAGCTAAAAAGCCTTCCTAAGAAGGATGAGGAAGCAGGAGGTGAAGGGTGTGGGAAACCCCTAAAGGGGAGCCCACATATGATCACAGCATGAATTTCTCCACAGTGTCCTGGAGGCAGTAACAGCAAGGAGAGCAACACCCTCTCTGACATGAGAATAGAGACCACCATGGCTCACTGTGCCTAGCCAGTGCTTCCTCTCCTTCTGCTGAGGTTTCACAGGAGCTTGTCCCCAGCTACACACTATACCTAAGATGTACAGACCACAGGACCACGTTCATCATACAACAGCTTGAAGATTTCCCATTCCAAGGGCACGGGAGAAATCTCGGGATTTTATTCCCCTGATCATGTAAAATCTGACCACATCTGTCAGCATCTGCAATTGCTGCCAGTGTTTTGCATGCTCCAGAATGAAAGAATCTGCAAGGTCTTCTTTGCTGCTTCCAAACTGAAACCTGCCTTTTCCACATGCAGGGATCTCCATTTCCACATGGACTCCTGGCTGGTGTTACCATGGCACAGAGCTCCCTTCAGTTCCCTGTTCACAGGACCCTACACAAGGGTTGTCCCACTGCTGCTGATGAAAGACAGAAGTGAGCAGCAACACCACTCTGCTTCAGAAACCAGAATGCAGGGTTTGTCACACACTGTTATTGCCATCTTAGATAATATTCCTTGGTCAGCAGAATCTTTGGTTTGGTTGTCCACTTTGGAAGCATTGAACACTCCCCTTTTTCCTCCACACTCCCAGTGCATAAACACATCTGTGCAGCAGCTGGGCAGAGTCAGCAAATTTGGCACAAAGACACCTGAGAGCACTGCTGGCTCTGCCCTGACCCCCTGACAGTGCCAACATGCTGCAGCTTCCCAGCAGGTCCCCTCCTCCCTTCTTGGCTCAGGATCCAGCATTTCCAACATCCTCCCCTCTGTTTTCCTGTATGGAGCATTTCCTGCTCTGGAAATGCTCATATCCCAGGAGCTGTGCACTCACTGCCTACATCTGACTGTGGTCACCATGCTGCTCTTCCCAGCCCCCAACTTGCAGGTAGCCCCCAGCTTTTAGGGGCTCTAGAAAGAGGTCCCAAACCAGACACTATTTAGCCAGCACAGCAAATTAATAACTAGACAAACCAGCTAAGTGCCAATGGATATTATTTTGCCTAAACACATCCAGCTGTCTCAAAACTCCTCTTCCTGTGGTACTGGCTCCAGTAACATATTTCCTCTATCCTCTGAAATGTCTCCTGTTCCTGGCTCAGCCTGCTGGTGTCCTCTCCTATGAAAGGGCAACCGCCCCAGCAGTCCTGGTTAAACTTTCTCTGGATCCTTCAGAGACCTTCCACCCCACCAAATATCACTTGAATCCTTCACTAAGTTCATAACCTGCTGAACTGTTGGTTAGCCCCATCCTGAGTTTCAGGCTTGGGAACAGCCAGAGAGGTCTCTCTTCACAAGGATGTCCATCTGAACAGAGAAGTATCAAGCTTTAGCAGTCCCCCAGGACATTTCATCACAGAGCACTTCACTTTTTTTTTCCCATCAGTCCCCATGCTGTTAGCTCAACATGAAGATATTAAGAATTGAGTTTTTCAGGGCAGGGATTTGTCTTGGTTTGGAAGATGTAAAGGGGCCCACAGCCAGCTTCTCTGAGCAGCACTGCTGTATTTTCCTGTGCCAAATCAAGAGTGTATGGGAGTGTTGCCTGTACCTACAGGAGGGACACAGGGAAGTTGGTCACAACAGTGAATGCTTTCCATAACTCAATCTTCACACCATTCTCTGCACACATATTCACAGCTGACAGAAAGCATGCTGGATACATTCCTACCTCTTCCTCTTTATCTTCATGTGGAAGACACAAAGGGGACACCTGGGGTCTTACCGTAAATTGATGTGGCTTCACTGCTTCTGCCTGCTGAGGATTAACAGTCTGGAAGAGAGGAATGGTCCCTGTCCAAATATGAATCCCAGGGGCCACCCTGAAACATAACTCAGTGTGACAAAGGCCCTGAGCCACAGAAAACACCCAAGGTGCAATCCCAGCGTGAGCATTATCAGCTGCTGCACAAGCACTGGAGCTTGTTTGCCTCCCCAGGATGCCAGCGCAGTCCCCAGCAAGCCAAGGTCCCTTTTTTTGTCCCTTTCCCCCATGTAGGGGGTGGATCTCTCTTTACTCAGCCTCCCAAGCACACTTCTAGGGCACTCGGCTTGGCCAGCTCCATCACCCTCCAAAGCAGATTCAGCAGGCAGATAAAAGGGAATCATATCCTCACAAATTTTGCTGCTGTGACTTGATGGATGGATGTGAAATAATTTCCACTTTGGCAATAGGCAGTTTCTGAAACATTAAATCTGTAGTCCTCCCTTACAAGACATGGCATGAAATACTGGCATCAAAACATAAACAAATGCCAACTGAAAGCAAGCTAGTACACCAGTGAAAATGTCAGTGAATAGCCAATACATCTTTACATCAAGGTTTTGTAGGATTTGTATGTGTGTTTGCTGCTGCATGCTCCCACTTCAGTGTCCCTGCAGGTGCTGGGAAGATTCCTGGTGCTTCTGAGCACTTAATGAGGGCAGATATTCTTCATATCACAGGGGAAGAACAGATGCACGAATTCTTGACTGTGGTTTAAGTTCCAGGTTGAATTTCATCCTTTTCAAAGATCAATTCTTGCCTAATTCAGTCACATTTTTAATAAAAAACACCAGACCTGATAGACTGCAAGTCCAAGAAAGTTTCGAACATGACGAGACATCCCGGCCCAAAATAGAAGCAATTCAGCCCAACAGAAGACAAAGCAAAGTAATTCAGGAGCAGGATTTCAAACTCAGTTTCCAAGTGACGTGTGGAGGACCATCCTCCTGGCTCCTGGTGAGCTATGGCTCAGAGCATGGTCCATTTGCTTGGTGGGCAAAGCCCTACAACACCTGCTGGAGCAGAGATCCAGCTGCAGCCTGGTGAGCCCCACACCACAGCAAAGGGATGCCCAGGGGAGGCTGTGGCTTTGAGGGAAGCCCACATGGCAGCAGGGTCCGGGCAGGACCTGGGATCCTGTGGAGAGAGAAGCCCAGGCTGGAGCAGGTTTTCTGGCAGGACTGTGGGGCACCCATGCTGGAGCACTTCCTAAAGAACTCCAGCCTGTGGGAAGGACCCACACTGGAGAAGGTAATGCAGGACTGTCCCCTGTGGGAGAGACCCCACACTGGAGCAGGGAGAGTGTGAAGAGGAAGGAGTGCAAATGTGTGATTAACTGACCACAGCCCACATTCCCTGTCCCTCTGTGCTGTATGTTGGTGGGAAGGAGGAGGTGAAGAAAATCAGGAGTGAAGTTAAGCTCAGGAAAAAAAGATGAGTAGGGGAAAGGCATTTTTAGATTTGATTTTATTTATGCAGTACCCTTCTCTGATTTAATTGACAATAAAGCAGATTAATTTCCCTGAGTCAAGTTCATTTTTCCCATGATGATAAAGGGTGAGTGATCTCTCCCTGACCTTATCTCAACCCACAAGCCTTTCATTATATTTCCTCTCCCCTGCCCACCTGAGGGTCACCCCAGCACACCAAGCAATAGATGAGCTTCCCCTAACTCTGTGTATCTGCATGCCCTGCTGGGTTACCTTCCTGGCGTGAAGGAAGGAAGCACTGCCACAACCATCCCACTGGGGCAGGCCATGAGCAGGGGGACTCTCCACTAGTACAAAAAATTGCCCCCTCCCAGCTGAGTGTCCTGAGGGAACTGGAGCTGAGCACCTGCATCTGTCAGTGCAAATGATCATCATCAGCACAACCCGTTGGAGTGATCAAACCCATGACCCCTCTCAGAGGCTCGAGGCAGGGAGTGGTGCCCCAGGTGGGCCAAGTGGGTGGTGGGGTTTATCCATGGCCCCTGGGCCCGCTTCCAGAGGAGTTGCTAAGGCAGCATCTGCATAGTCTGCCTGTCACAGGTACCAGCCCAAACACAGATCTGAATGCTTCACCAGACAGAGGCACCAGACTCTCACAAAATTATGGTGAAGTTATATTTTGTTATGAAACCTCCTCTGCCATGGGTCGCATTTAAGAGAGTCCAAAAATTAAGCCCCACTCTATTTTCAAGTGTACAGAAGAGATGACTGCACACCATTTGTTACGTGGGGCCATTAGACAGAGAAGTGTGGCAGAGCACGGGCAGTGTGGAATCAGACAAGGGGCAGCAGCTGCTTGGGGACAAGGATGGGAGAACCTGGTCCTGCTGCACAGCTGCTAACATCTGTCTTACCAGTCATTTCCCAAAAGTTTCTTTGGCAGAACAGGGAGAAACTCCTTCCAACCCTGTGCGTAACTGCAGATGTAACAAGGGAAATGTCTAAAAAGCCAGAAAGCAGATGTTTTAGCAGCTGACATCCTCCCCTGCATTCCCCAGGCACAGCTGTGGCCCGGTCCCTGTGTGCACCACCAAGGTACCCCATGGCCGGAGAGAATGGCGACAAATTGACTTTGGAATTAATCCTGCTTAAGCCTTATCTCAGAGATTATTATTGCTATCAAGGCAGCTGAAGAAAGGCTACAGTCACTCCAATAAATTTCTTCTTCTGAGACAGCAATCAAAAAAAAAAAAAATCCACTGATCACTCAGACTGAACACAAATGTAATCGTGTTCAGTGCTTTTTATATACATTCCTGGATTATCTCTGACCCAGCTATATAATCTTTTAAGAGCTAAAATGAATCCTGGGCTGTACAATGATGTGATTATCTTAGAAAGCAAGAGAAGAAAAAGAAATTTCTTTTTCCTGCATCTAGAAAAATATTTTTCTTCACTGGAGCAGACATTCATATCAGTGATATGTTTATATGTCAGCCTGCTCTACTACAGAAAGTTGAAGATTTTTAATCAAATACACTGGGGATTTTTGGGTGGAGTGAAGCCGCCAACTGATTTATTATTCTTGTGTGTTGTAAGGAGCCTGAACTATGCCTTTTGTACACTACTGACTTACAGGGAAAAAATGCTACCCTAGGAGAGGAGCACCTAAGAAGAAAGTAAAATTTTAAAAATGTTCAAAACAAAATTGGTCTTCTTCTTCCCTTCTAGCTAGTTGGAACTGATTAACATGTTGTATGTATGTCTAAGTGCATGAACACAAGGAAGCATAGTGCAAAAATGTGATGGGAACAGGAAGGGTTAAGCAGCTCTCTAAGTGTTTGTTCATAAATACGTACGGGATCCTGAGCATTAAATCCAGCAGATTCCTACTCTGTGGCTCTAACTATTTCAGCATAAAATCCTGAAAGCCTTCAAAGACAGCAAGACTTTAAATCAAAAATTAAAGGAGAGTATAACTGGCTCCAAAGACATTAAAGTAGGGAAAAAAAGGGAAAACTAAATAAACAGATGCAGATTTCAGTATGTTTTCCTTAAGAGACCTAACCAATTTTTCTTCTTATTTTGTATTTGTTTTACATAAGCTTCTTAAAGTAAGGAAAAGAATTAAAGCACATTTTTTTCTACACAGTTTTCCACTGAGATAAATTCAATTACTACCAAAGAATACAGTTACATCAAAAAAATGCATCCTTTCTGCTTGGTCACATCTGGTAAATCAGATTTAATCCTCAGCAATCAATATCCTAGGGTACACAGCCCACATGTAGAGATGCAAGGTGGAAGGTAAAGAAAAGAGATTATATTTGTAAAAGCAGGAAAGTATCACGCACTGCTAACAGCTCTGTTTTCTTTATGTAGAGTTAACATGAAATTAATTGTTAAATAAAAATAGTTTTCTGAGTGACATTTACAGGCATTTCTTCTGAAGCTCGGAGTGCCTCCCTGCAATTGCAACTCAGTCCCTGGGCAGGTGCAATCCTTCTCTTCCCACCACACTTCCAGAAAGGCAGAGAAAACAAGCTCAAGAAGTAAAAACAGAACAAAATTCTTGGGCTACTCAGAAAGGCATTGTGGTCACGGTCCAGTCTGAAAGCTGCTGCTGAACTGTGGGTTCTGCCAGAGCTGCTGAGCCCAGGCAATCAGCACCCACCTCCCATCTCCCACTTTCCATCTGCCAGCTCCCATCCTTGCTGGAGATGGCCACAACAGAGCCGTGGGGCCGTGCTCGGGGACAGCCACGCTGCACCCTCTGCAGAGCCACGTCACCTTCACCCCCCAGCCAAAGGGTGGCTTTTCTCCTGCATTTTACCAACCCCTCCCTGCCCACCTGAAAGTGGAGAGATGTTTAGGGAAGTCCTGCAGCTGGGACAGCCAGGGCACTCCTGGCACACCTCTGCCACCACAGCTCTCTGCACAGGGAGCCTGGCAGCAGCACCCCCAGGAAAAGATTGTAAAGCTCCCTCCCAGGCCAGCATTTCATCTGCTTTGTGATCAGGCTCCATCCAGCACTGCAGCTTCAATCACTCATCACTTCTGAGCGGTGCCAACAATTTAATCCAAATCCTGTCAGATTTACCATCCTGCTACTTACTCTGCTGGCTTTTACCCTGACCACCCTTCCCAGCTGCCAAGGGGGACAAAAGCAACCCTCAAACCCTGAGTGTGAAACTTAACCTGCCTTTCAAAGGATGGAGCACACCAGCACAAGTATGACTAGAGGTGGGGACAAAAGCAACCCTCAAACCCTGAGTGTGAAACTTAACCTGCCTTCCAAGGGATGGAGCACACCAGCACAAGTGTGACTAGAGGAGAGGTGAGGCTGCACATCCCAGCTGGACAGCCAAGCATGCTTCCCAGCCCCTGCAAACAGACCCCTGCATCGTGCTGAGCACGGCCCTTGGCACTGTGTTGCATCCACATCTCAGTCAAAGAGCTGAAATTTCCTTCTCCAGTACACTCCTAATTTCAAGTTCTTTCAGGAGTAGGAGGATTCCAACATATGGTTTTTTTCTTTTTCAAACTACTTAATAAGATCTCCTCCACTCAGGTGTGTGCTGTCACATCATTCACCCAGCATTAAAAAAAAAAAAAGAAAAAAAAAAAAAAAGAAGGCAGAATAACTGCCTTTAGAGAAAGAGAAAAAAAAAAAAAAAAAAAAAAAAAAAAAAAAAAAAAAGGCAGAATAACTGCCTTTAGAGAAATAGAAAGCACAAGTCATACCTTACCTTCAGACTTCCCCAGTTTGCTGGAAGATGAAACTTTCACAAATTCTTCATTTGGTCCTTTCTCGTGCGGGTGACGGAGGAGTTTAAGAATCCAAACAGCACGGGGGAAACTTTTGTTTAGGTGCAGCCCTCGCCCCGCGGCTCCACTAACGCGCCTCCGTGCTCTCTGGGGAGCGGCACTGCCGTGCCCGCACCCACCGGTGGGCAGCACAGCAGCTCCCGCCGGCACCAGCAGCTCCTCCTGCTCTCCCCACCGGCCTCCCGCGGCTCCGGCGGGCCGGGGAACGCGGAGGAGCCGCCGCTGCTGCCCCTGCGCTGCCGCCAAGGGCTGCGGGACGGACGGGCGCGAAGTGCGAGAGTGTGTCTGTGTGTCTGTATCTGTGTGTGCAAGTGTCATACTAAGTATAGTGTGATGTACAGGGTAATGCACTATATAGTATATTATACATTATACACAGCCTGTTATACTATGCTATACAGAATCACAAAACATCCCGAACTGGAAGGCACCCACTGGGATCCTCAAGAACATTTCCTTGCCCTGCACAGGACAGCCCCAGGAGTCACGCCATGTGCTTGAGAGCGAACGCTTCTTGAACTCTGTCAGCTTTGGGACCACTTCCCTGGGAGCCTGTTCCAGTGCCCAGCCACCGTCTGGGTGAAGAACCTTTTCCTAGTACCGAGCCTAAACCTTCCCTGAGATGATATCGATATAACCACAACACATAAATATAGATGCACAGTGTTTATAGATACACACTACAGAGATACACTACTTTTAGCTCAGCAACAAGCAGAGCGGCATTTCGGACGGATGCTCCCCCACTTCACTTACCGCTGACCTCCCCAAAGAGAAATCCCCGCACCGAACAGAGGGCGGGCGCCGGGAGCGGTGACAGGGCGCAGACCGCCGCGGCGGGACCACCGCCCGCGTTTGGGAGAGGGGGAGTCCGCGGCTCTCACCTTGGGGTTGGTGCGCAGCTGCCGCTCGTCCTCATGGAGCAGGGCGGGCGCGGAGGAGCGGGAGGTGCGGACCAGCACCTGGAGGCAGGGGTAGCGGGCGGTGCCGCGGCAGGCGGCCCCGCAGGAGAAGGTGCAGGCGAAGCGCTCGCCCAGCTGCCGCACCGCCAGCACCGTGCAGTTGGCGGAGCCGCCGCCGCCCCGCTCCTGCAGCGCCGGGCGAAGCCAGCAGCAGCCCAGACCCAGGAGGGAGAGCAAGCCGGCGGCGATGAGCAGGAAACCCAGCCGCATGCTCTTGTCCTCCGCCTCCGTGTACTCGTACGCCGCCCGGCTCCTCGCCATGGCCCGGCTGCCGCTGGCATCCGCCGCCGGGCATCAGCCGCTGCCATCGGCTAAAGCCGCCGCGCTCCCCGCCTCCCTCCCCGCCTCCTCCGAGGCTGACTGCGCGTGTAACAGCACGGGGAAAAAAAAAATAAAGATAAATAAAATGCAAATTTAATCCTGTCTGACCTAATTCAGGGCCCTCCGGGGGTGGAAAAGGACAGATTGCAACGGGATTATCTGACCCCGGAGATTTGCTGGGCGGAGGGCTAGTCCGGATTAATACTGGGTACCATCATGCAATGTACAATATCTAGAAGAGGGTGGGTGGGGTCCTTTGGGTGCACTGTGGCCCCCCTCTAAGGCAACATCTCATCACTGGCTTGGTTAAGTCCTGGAGATCTTGGGTAAAGTCCTGTTTAGTACCCCCAAGGCATCAAAGTCTGCAAGGTCTCCATGAGTAGAGGAGGAAACTAATCTGAAATTAAAGAAATTAAATATCTACAAGTGAGAAGGCAGCTTCTATTTTTACCTTTTTAATTAAGAAGGGACATAATGGGAATTGGTCAAATTTTAACATTTTTGAGGTGCAGGGCAAAGTGTTCTGGCCAGCCCCAAAACCAGCATCTGCACAGCAGGGACAGGGATAACAGACAAGCAAGATGACAGCTATCACACACAGGAATTGCTTTGAACAGGAAGGTATTGACCTTTGAAGGCTCACACTAAGTGCTTTCTTCCAAGCAGTTTTGCAAGAAAGGCCACTGATTCAAAAAAATATATTTATTGGGCAAATAAAGTTTGGTTATTACCCAGCATTACCCACTGTGGCAACACAAATTCTTTGGTGCCAAAGTACCATAAGCAATACTTAGAGTTCTATTCTATCATCTTTATCACAGGCAATTAGGTAGAACAAGATGTGAGCCTGAGAGCTGATAGCTGAACTTGATGACACAGCAGACAAGAAGGCACAGAAACACAAAGTTCGGGAAATAGCACTTTCCTTTTTCAATCTCTTTCCCACTGCAGACTGCAACGTCAAACTTTTATAAATGAAGCTGATCCACAGGTTCTCCAAATGGACTATTAAGCAAGGTTTGGCAGGAAGGCTATTAAGAGTCTACGCTGTGCCATGAATATAGATGGATGTAAATGTTGTCCTTGCTTGCACAAGTGCACTACCACACTCCTCTCCAGCCAGCTGCTCACAGCAGCCTGCCCTGATTATCAAAGGGGTTCTGAAAAAGGATACCAGCTCTGAGCCAGCTTTATGGGTTTTTTACTTAAACCTCCTATAGGTGTTTATACTAGAAACGCAACTCCTCTTGCTTAGTCCTTGGCTCTGTTCATTCATTCCCATCATCAGGTTTTGCTGCCAGCACTTGTGGTGACAGCAGTCTCTAATAGTAGAGGCTTGTTGCATAGAGTTTTCATAATATAAAAAATAAAATTATAATCAGATTGATTGGTCACTTACCACCTGAAAGGGAAGCTCCAGCTCTGCTTTCTCAGTGTAAATGAGCTGCAGCTTCTTTCTGTCTCACCTCCTGAACAGCTGGCCTTCCATACTTGTTCAACTCCCGACAATGCCCTGTACAAAGCGCCGTCAGACGGAAATTAAGGCAACAGCTCATTGGGTAACAGAGCAAGCGTGACTTAGTCCTCCTGTGTGCATCCAGTCCCTACATCCTCCACAGCTGGGGAGATGCTAAGCTGTATTGTAACTGGGAATGGCCGTAGGATTCACCAAGGGATCTCATAGATTTTGAACTTCTGCACAAATGACTCAGTCAAGACTCAAAGACTATTTGGATCAATTTGAAGTGAAAAATAATCATCATGCCTGATCATTGGTAGCAGAGTAAAGGGGGCTTGTGAAGGTTTTAGCTCTGCTGTCACCTGCTGAGGGCAGGAGTGGGGATGCTGGCTCCAGGATCACGGGCTGCACCAGAGCCACCAGGGCTGAGAAAGCCAGCATACAAAGTTCTGTGTCTGTATGAAAATCTCAACAGCAGGAGAACAGATTGCTGCCTGCTCTTTTGGGCCCTTCCCTGCCCCACAACCAAGGGACAGCCTTACCTGTGGCCAGCTGCAGCTGCCCCACTGGCACGGCCTGTGCTGGGAACACCCCTGCCTTGAGGCACCCGGAGGCTGGGCAGCCAGTGCAGCTCTGCCCCACACCCACCCAGGCTGCTCATGGGACTGGGATCACACTGCCCTGCACAAGCCCAGGCTGCTCCGTGGGATGCTGACTCTTCCAGGAAGTGAGCTGCCTTTTCCAAATGTCTATACAACAACAGAGTGCCTTTATAAAGCCAGTACTGTGACACCCACCAGAAAGCAAACTGGCCTTCCAAGGGAAGAGATCTCCAGAACAACCAAAGCCACCCTTTAGTTGAAATGAGTTTAGAGAACACTGAAGGGTTCCCACAGAGGTTCAGCAACACCTGCACGAGAGCAGCTTTGGGACCCCTGCCTTCCTCTGGCTCCTCATCAGGACTGCTTACAGCCCAAGCAGCACAGCCCAGTCATGACAACTGGCTACTTCACTGGATTGTTTGCTAAACCAGAGGGAGTTCCAAAGGTGATTTTACAGAAAATTATTTTGGTAGTTTCAGCAGGAAAAACCTGACACCCCCAAATATATTGGCTAACTAATACCACAAAGACAATATGAAATGCAAATAACAAACTGAAGCCTACAAAAATAATACACAAACTTGGTTCAACACAGTTAATCCAGAAGTGAGCTGAGTCAGTAACAGTCAAAACTATTGTTCAATGTGCTTTAACATTACTTTCAAAAATATAAAGTTTACCTCTAACAGTAAAGTGGTTTTAAGTGGTAAAGCTACTGAAACTATTAAAGCCAAAATTTCAAAGTAGGTTATCCAGCTGCATTTCCTCAGGTCTTTTTAATGTACTGGAAGCTTTCCGATTTAAGGAAACAAGAGCATGCATGCTTATCACAGAGAGAACAAAAACTTAATTCACATACTATATATGAAAATAAAAGTATCAGCTGTCAATACAGACTAACTTCTTAGTCCAATCTGCATTACCAGAATTCAACTTCTACTTGCATTAATTTTGGGCAGCGGCAAATTTTGAGGGAGACAATGAAAAGGTACAAAAGGTACTTGAAAACTAAGCATACTCTGAAATATGGCTTGAATAGCAATTGTTATATTTAGGATCTTAAACCAAAAGCAGTGTCTAGCTATCCCATGCTCAGGATGGCAGCTGAGCATTTAGAGGCTTTTCTGAGTGTGACAGATAGCAACCAATTTTTCCTTTTTGTTTCATTCAGCCATGGAAGTATTTTCAAATGGAAGTTACCAGGAATTGCGGGGAGGGGGGAAGTTTATTTTAGGTGACTAGTAACTTTAAACAGTATTACTTAGAAGATGGACAGCCTTCTTCCATAGCCATGGCACCTAGGAGCCAGTCAGGACCAAGATGATGGCCCCACAGACCTCTGTCTCCAAGCACTGCCTAGGTCATGCCAAAGACTGTTTCTGGTCTCTTCATGGTCAACAGAAACAGTCCCTCAAGACTGCAAAAGTCTTGCATCTGACTACAACACACAAATTCTGATTTGGGTACATTCTCCCTTTTTTCATGGAAACTAAAACAGCAACAGAGCAGTACAAGAAGTACTGGCTTGGGGTCAGAGAGGACTTCAGACATGCCACGCAGCCAAGTGATACAATCATGCATTTTGCACTGCAGAAATGCCCCCATGGGGGAGTGGTGTGATCAGCTGTGAACCCCAACACAGTGCAGCTGACACTTCATTGAAGGTCACAGTCACGTGAGAAGTATCTGCAGGCTTCCCTGGATTACCCGGGTCTTCAATTAGATTAATCAAGCCCATGAAGGTTCTCATGTGCTTACATATTTGTGGCACCAGACGACTAAGGCGGAGGAGATTGAGTGCAGGGTGGTTTTTGTTTGTTCATTTTTAAACACCTCAATGGAGCATCCTTAACCCTTTCCTTCATGACGTTCTGATACCCTTCATTTTTCCACAAGCAGGGTGGTTGGAATGACAACTGTTGAAACACAAAGTATCTTCTGCAACAGCAGGCTTAATCAAATCAGAGAAACTTATATGAAACCCTGGAAGTTGAAGGTAGTGGATTTGCAGAGAAAGTGGAGCTAACTATTCAATAAAGATTTGTAAACAATATGCAACAAGGACTAGGAGAGCATGTTGGACAGGCTAGAAATAGGGATACTTCTTCTTTCCAAGATCACTGGGTATTCCCAGAACTTACCTTGCACATTGTCGTACAAAACTAGTTATGGGGAAAAACACCCACCTCAAATTTAAAAACAGCATTCTAGTATATCCCTATTTATAGTGCTAGTGGAATGTAAAAGCATATTAAATAAGCCTCAGACCTTAACTGTCAGTCTCAAAAACTGCAGGGCAATTCAGGCACCCATTTGCCACATGAGTATGCAAATGAGGGCTGAGGTTTTCTTCCTTTCAGTAAAAAAAGCAGTATGTTTTTTTTTCAATTTTTAAAATTTATATAGTATCAGTTAAGAAGTAGCTTCAATCTTACGCCTTGTTTTCTGTTTGTATCTGTTTCTCTTGCTTCAACCACAGTGTAAAACGAAATTAAGTCACAGATTTTAAAATCTCTATACATGCTTATTTAATGGATAAACAAGAGCCAGACTGTTCTTCCACCTGGAAGGAGCAGAGCACCACTTCCATGCTCACAGATGAGAAGTTTCTCAAAATCAGGCATTTCAAATTTTTGAAAGACTGGGCAGTTGAATACAACTGTATCATCAAGTATTTTTTGGGAGAACTTTGATTCCCCATTTCAGCTTGTTTTTAAAGTGATATAGGTATTTTGTATTTTAATGTAATTATCTTGCTCCCTTTACTATCTGTTGTTAATTTCCATGAACATGAGAAATAATTGCATTAGATTTGAAGAAGGAAATATCACTTCAGGAATTCTCACCAAAAAAAAAAAAAAAATGAACCCAAAAATACCCCCACCAAACCCAGGTCATAATGAACCTCTGACGGCAAAAAAATGGAACATTAAT